TGCTGATCAATGATCAACCCGATTTTCCTACTGAAATTGGGATTGATGATGTTCAAAGGATTCTCAGAAGGATGGGATATGAGGGCATCTACCCTCCCACGGTGAAGAAGCTTTTGCCTCCCTACTGGAGATTTTTGGCACACGTGTTTGTGAGCTACATATCGGGGAGGAGATCAGGAGCTAATGAAATCTCTCTTCGGAACACAGGGGCAATCGTTTCATTGGCTGCTGGCATAAAATTCAACTTCTCGAAGTTCATTCTGGATGAGTTTTTGGTAAACATAAATGCTATATCCCGGGGAACCAGAGATGCTTTCTTGTTATACCCGAGATTTATTCAGGTGTTCATCGACAACCAATTCCCGGAAATGATCAAAGACGGTGACAAGCTGGATATAAATTCACTAGGCCCACACACGGTTGGTCTAATCAAGCAAAATCGAAAGGGCAAAGTCGTTTTCCAGGGCTTACATCCTCTCGAGAAGTTTGGAAAATTCACTGAAATAAATGAATCTTCCGAGTCTCATGGGACTTCGGACAAGATGTCTTCAGAGCCCACTTCCTCCGAGAGAGTTGTTTCTGAGGATGTCATCACAGTCTCAGATCATGATGAAGAAGAAGCTCCAGCTACTAATGCTCAAGTAGTTGAGGAACACGAATTGACATCTGCTCAGGTGCAAGGAGATTACCATGAGGGGTCTGGAACGGAAACTGATTTATACGAAGACCTCAACCTCACAGGATTCGACAACGATGAAATCCCTCTCAATTTTGGGATTAAATGAAGATTTTATGACCGGGATGAACCTCAATACATTGCTTGACAATGTCGATGAAGTTGCTCCTCTAGCAACAGAGACAAGGGAAAAAGAAGACGTTCTCGAAGCCACACCTCCTCCTACCAATCCATCGACGGAAATAGCAATTCCTATGGTGACAGCGTCAGGGACTCCTCCCCTTGATGTTGTTTTACCTACTTCTGCGACGTTGGAAAGTGATCACCCAGCCACACTAGCCTCTCCTCCTCCAAGTAAAAGACGAAGACTCGACCCTAGACAGGGATTTACTGATTCTAGTGCACTTCAAAGTTTTACAGCTCAACCAACAACAACTCTAGTTATAGTCTCATCTGAACCTATCAATGAAGGTCCTAGTACCTTCTATGAAGCTGGTGGATCTTCATTCCCTATGGATTTCTCTCCTCCCAGGCCAGAGCATGATGCTGCCTCAGTTAGGTTAGCCAGGTTTTTGGCCAGAGAACAACTCACAACGCCTCCCTCACATGGCAAAGGAATTTCTATTGGGGGTGGCAGCTCAGGAGAAGAGAATCCTTCACTTCTTGGACTCCAGAAAGAGATCGATGCTCTTAATCAGAAAAATGTTGATCTAGATCAGAGAAATATTGAGCTTGATATCAAGGTCGCAGACCTTCAGACTGAGAATACAAAGCTTAATATTCAAGTGGCCGAACTTATCGAAACAAAGCTCTGAAGTCGAAGCAAATTACTGACCTTCAGACGCATTTCGGCCTACTGACCGCCAGCTACTACGATTTGAAGAAGAAGCTGGAAGATAAATTTGGCGACGAATTCAAGTCATCCGTTAACGAGCCGCAGATATATCTTCCCAACCAAGATGCTCCCATAGTTCCTAACCCTAAAAGAACAACCACCATTGTTGATCGTTTTGAAAAAGAACCGGCTCAGGCTCCAAGTGTAATGGCATTAAAACGCGCTAAATTGGCCAAGTCAGCTGAAAAGGGTCAACTTTTATTCAAAAGGAGCTCAGAACATAATGCCCCCTGGGATCAACAAAAGATCACCGTTACGGATCTGGGCGAACATCGTTTCAGAGATGTTTATGGTGATAGGTCAGGAATCATCTCGTGGGGATTCCATGATACGATGAATATGTTTATGGTAAGGAGAAAGAGCGGCAAAACTGAGCTATACAAGGATGCTCACGATTTTAGTTCCTTTACAAGAATTGATCTTACGGAGCTATCTAAAGCTCCCTTCTCAAACCCATCAAACAATCCCAGGGCGGGTCAGTTCAAATCATTTTTGGAAGATCAAGTTGCTAAGGGTTTTCCTTCGATGAAGACGGCTGAGTCAATAATCAAGGTTTACTCTGACGTAATTGATCCCAAGACAAGTCAGCCACTAAGATCAGTGATGTGGCCCGCTACAGCTCAAGTGAAGCAAGTTCGCATTCTTCAAAGTTATCCTGATTGATCTCTCACATCCATGCTATATTGGGTGTATGATGAATCCACAGATGCTGCTGTCATCAAGCTCAAAGATGACTGTATCCGCTTATATGACAAGAGGGATTTGCTTCAATTCGGCAAGTGGGACATTCATCAACTCTCGATTCATCAGATCAAGGTGGCTGAAGATCCTTTTGAGCCTGCTGCAAAAGAATACACTTCGATGGTGGCTGAAATTATAGAGAAGGAAATGTGGAACGGAGCGATGGGAAAGTTCGATGTACTGGTGGTCGACAAGAGCTGAATCCAAGCTAGCACCAAACCAAGGGGGAGATTGAAGGGTCCAGTAAATGGTTTGGTCTAGGCTTTCATTGTATTTTATTCCGTAAGAGTCTGTAACACAGTTATTGAGTTGTTTATATGTTTTAGATCAGTAAGTGTGTTTACGACCTTAAACAGAGTTTACGGCCGTAAACATGTTTACGACTGTAAACCCTGTTTACGGTCGTAAACCCCGTTTGCGGTCCAATTCTGTATAAATAGTGGAGGTGTAGGTCTTTGTGCTGTTGTTGATGCCATTGCGTTTACAGAGAGTCCCATCGAGTTGTACCTGACGTTTTTCTGAATATAAACGTGTGCAAGCTCGATTTCTTTTCATCTTATTCTTTTATTCGTGATTGTTTGTTGCTTGACTACTGGTAAAGATCCTTATTAGGACCTTACACTAATATTTACTTAACTCATTTATATTGGGCGTGTTTGGCAAAAGTAGCTGTTGGCTGGAAGCGGATAGCATGTAGCGGGTAGTTGGTAGCGGAAAGCTGTAACTTTTACTTGTTATATGAGTGTTTGGCAAAAGTAGCTGGAAGCTTTTGAAATATATAAAATTACATAAAAAGACAATCGATTAAAAAATAAATAAATAAATAAATATATTTTTAAGGGTAATTATGGAAATTGATTTCAAAAGCTCAGTAGTGTTTTGTTAAACGCTACATGAAGTAGCTTTTAGATTTAGAGCGTTTTGTTTAAACTAAAAGTTAAACGCTCATAGTATCAAACGAAACTTTTTTGTTTAAACAAGAACGTTTTGTTAAAAGCTAAAAGCTAGAAGCTCACAAACGTTTCCAAAAGCTCCGTGCCAAACACATCCATTGTATTTTTTCTAGTTGCAAGTAAGTAGGTAAATGAGCCCTTGCAATGTCTACCATAAATAATGCCAATAAGGAGATTTTATAGATAAGTTCATGTCTGTCGGTTTTCCTAGAAGGGAAAAAAAAAGATTATTTTTGGTTTTTTAATTTCTTTAAATAATAGCTCAATTAATATAGGAATGAAAACAACACCACATCAAACACATACTCAAAAATCATGTTGCTTACCAGCTTTATATGCACCATCTAAGACTATACTCCCCAAATGTGATTTCCCACAAAGCCATAGATCTGTTGCTTACCGTATGTGTATGATACGATTGGAGATCTTTTCAAGATATACTCTTCAAAGTTTGTCAATGGTCATCTAGTGCCGGACTGCCGGCCTAGTAGAATGTTGATCGGATGATTATACTTAGTTAATATTTAGAGGTTTTAAAGTTATGACGTAACTAATTTGAGTATTAGTAACTTAGGCATGTATATATTCTTATCAATGTCCCAAATGCACATTGATTGTTAGAAGAGTTGTGCTGAGAGCTTGAGTATTATCATATACGATAGTTTTGAATTATTCCAATAGATTAAAACCATATTTCAACACTTTTGAACACAATATCACACAACGGTTAGATATCATAGATTAATAGAACATGGCATGCATCCATCATTATTAGACTTTACAAAGCTAGTGGATTGAGGCTATTGGTGCGCCCCAGCAATCTACGTTAACACTTAATCGATCATATACTAATATTCACGAGGATTTTTTTTTTTTTTTTTTTTTTTTGTTTGTAGAATGTACTTAAAATAAATATTTTCAAAGATGATTAACTTATTAAGTTCTAAACAAAGTTACTTTCCGGTATCTATGTCTTTCTTTTTTTTGTATTTATAACATGATAATAAATGTTTTTGTCACTTATTATGTTTGGTACAATTACTGTACATAGCCTTCCATTCGTTTCAAAATAAGAGGACCCCTTTTTGCATAATAATAGAAGGTATAATCTGAGGATTGACTAGTCAAAATGACTAATATGTAAGTGCAAGAAATGAGTCATAAATATATGTACAAAAATGGAAATGATATTTATTGCCCAAAAAAGACCATTATAAATAACAGTACCACCATGTTAAATAGGGTTGATACCGTCAAACTGTATCACTCCAAAAATTCGAATATTAATATTTCGATTTCATCTAAGATAGTATTTGATCAAAAGAAATCTATGATTTATTTAACTCATATTAAAAACTACAGAAAGAAATTACAAAAATCTCTAAAATCCGGGACATTTTGAAATAAGATCCTTAAAAAAATGATATTTTTTTGCAAGACGTCGATCAAGACCATTTTGTGAACTAGTCGTGTGCATTCTATGCTCTGAAACGTATCATCGAGTAGTCGTTCAATCAGTCCAACCATCAAGTTGTTATCGCCGATCTCATTTCCTTCACCTTCTCATCAATGCAACCAGTATTCACTTGCTTGGTTTGCTATTGTAAATAAATACATTCAGAAGACAATGTGTGTACAAATGTGTAACTGTGTGTGAGAGAGAGAGAAAGAAAGAGCGTGTCACGGGTTTGTCTTGAAAGGCTCTTATTTCACAGTCCCAGACCAGACACTCAGACACATATTCTCTCCTTCCTCTCTACATAATCGAGGCTGCCCCTGCCCTTCTGGCTTCATCTCTCTCTTTCTCTTTCTCTTTCTTGGAGTAATATAATAGTTGGAGGATTAGACTTCAAGATTTTTACATTCCCATATATCTCCACCAACCCCCCTCACACACACACACTCACTCACTCTCTCTCTCTCTAGAATCCTTAACCAAGAAGAATCGAAGAAGATTTGTTGATATAAAGAGAAGAAAGAAAGTGATTTTCATGGCGATGATGTTAGATAACTCATGTGATGGAGGGATGCTGTTATCGTTAGACTCCCACAAAGCGGTTCCTGCTCCTTTTCTCACCAAGACATACCAACTGGTTGATGATCCGACGACCGACCATATCGTCTCGTGGGGTGAAGATGACACCACCTTCGTCGTCTGGCGCCCACCGGAATTTGCACGTGATCTACTCCCGAACTACTTCAAACACAACAACTTTTCGTCGTTTGTGCGCCAGCTTAACACCTATGTAAGTGGAACACTTATGATAGATCAGTACTACTACTCGATTCTTTTTGTTTTGATTCTTTATTCTAAATCATGATACTAACTTTCGGTTGTTTTTTTGTGTTTCGTTTTATTAGGGTTTTAGGAAAATAGTACCGGATAGATGGGAGTTTGCGAACGAGTTCTTCAAGAAAGGAGAGAAGCATTTGCTGTGCGAGATCCACCGCCGGAAAACATCACAACCACAAGTCACACTTAACCACCACCACCACCCTCATCACTTCACCGGCCTTGGCGGTGGCGGTGGTCTACAAGGCGGCAATGGGTTCTTTGCTTACCCAACGTCTACACGGAGTATATCCCCACCAGACTCCGATGAGCATTTATACTGTGATAACTCACCACCTCTCTCTTCCCCCACCACCACCGCCACCACCACAACAGCTGGTATGCTTGGGATCTTTCATAACGGTAACCACAGCATTAGCAGTGGTAGAGGAGGCAACTCCGTGACGGCGTTGTCGGAGGATAATGAACGGTTACGGCGAAGCAATAACATGTTGATGTCGGAGTTGGCGCATATGAGGAAGCTTTACAATGATATAATTTACTTCGTACAAAACCATGTGAAGCCGGTGGCTCCAAGTAACTCATACCCTTCATCACTTCTTGTATCTTCAAATCATTCAAACATGAATGGCCAATTACTAATGCAAAAACAACAGCAGCAAGCATCGTTTATGAATGTGGGTAATAAATCACAACCGCTTCATGCTTCGACAGTCAATAACGTTGTTGTGGATGATAGCGTTAACGTTAGTAGAACAAAGCTTTTTGGAGTTCCATTGTTGTCGAAGAAGAGATTGCATCCTGAGTATGGGAGTAATAATACAATGGTGGAGACTCATAAGCCAAGGTTGGTTCTCGAAAATGATGATTTAGGGTTAAATCTTATGCCTCCATCTCCCTGTTAACTATCTTTCTCCATCTCAGAGTACTCAGAGATAATTCATTGATCATGAAATCTTAGCGAGTTTAGTCGAGTATTTAATTTTTCTTACTAAACAATATCATTTGGCACGATTTAGTTTTTTGAGATCTGTATGGGTGAGTGTGTTTTGTGTGGACCGGATCAGATGTAAATATAAAGTTTCAGAGTCGCCATGGAAATGAATGAGCTAGTATGATCACAAAACGAATCTACAAGTAACTCAATAGTACCAAGGGCCATGATTTCAACATATTATTTTCTCTTTTTGAGGTTTATCCGATAATGATCGTATTATGCAGTGGGAATGTGGGGGCAATAATTATTGGGCTCGATTATCAACCCCTTCTTCTTTATAGCATTTCTTTCTGGGAATTTTGTTTTAATATCTGAAAGTTTCAGTTCAGTCCCATTAATGCCCTAGAAATGAGATGAGAGGTGCCTTTCAGTGATGCCTTCTGTGCAGAAGGGTAGAAGGGAGAAGTTCATGAGACTTCTCATAAGACAAATGCTTGTGTTCAGTGCATTAATGGTTATTATACGTACTGTACAACCCATGTACGTCTCCATCAAGGTCAAATTACATTTTGAACCCTGGATCATATTTTTGAATTATTTCATTTTATATGCATAGTTTTAGTATGAAAGTAGAGAGTCATGATGGTTGAATATTTGAACGCTTGAAATCATCATCAAATCTATTTTCAAGATTAAAATCATTTGACTTAGAGATGTAGCATGGAGCATGATCCAGAAAAAGGGAAAGAAAAGAAAAAGGGAGTCATCATAATCATCATATCTTTGTGATTAAGGTTGATTTATGTTTAATAAACTATTGTTATCACTTATAAGTAAATTGATTTACTATTTTTTTTCCATTAGTTATTGTCATTTTATTATAATTGTTTTTGCTGAAGAGATCTATGATTCATGCCATGTGTATAAAGAAGACAAAGACAGGAAAACAAAAACGATTTTAGAAAGAAGTAAGAGAAAAAGGTAGTTTGAGTTGTTCGATGAAAGTGAAGTATGGGAGAAAAAATAGTCTAAAATGTTGGGTTTGAAACGTTCCAATCAATCACACACTTACTTTTGTCTATCTGAAATGGATTCAAGGTTTCCGATTAATGTACGTATTGTCGTATACAATTTGTTTATAAAAACGTACATAAAATAACGATTTTTATACTGGCTTTACGTTATCGAACATTACAAAACTTCTTCCGAATATTTACATGTGTTGCTTCTTCTCCAACTTCTGACCAACAAAGATTAAGAAAGAAAAAGATCTTTTGTATATATTGTCTCTTTGGATCCCTTTTCTATTCTTTATACACCCATCGTGCAAAATTCTCGACAAGTTCATCAAAAAAGTGTCATAAACTGGGAATTCACAAAGCCAATTTTAATGGTCTTTTAATCACATGCATATTTTATACATTACAATTAGAGTTCAGGTCCATTTCGTGCCTGGCGGGCAAAAATGTGCAAAGCAAAAGCAACTTTATTTTGCCATAAAAAACATCTTTTCAAGGTTGAATAATGTTATTCTCCATGAAAATAAAGCTTCAGCTAGCATAATTTGACTAAATAATCCCAACCATTTCCCCCTTTTCCTTAAATTGGCTCCATTTTTTATTGGGCATTTTTGTTTTCGATATAACAATTGATTTTAAAGGTGATTTTGTACAAGAATTTAAATTAAAATGAAATCTTGAAATTGTGAGTAACAAAACAATGACAATTCTTTAAACAGAATTAAAGCATTTAATATTTGGAACAAAATAAGCACCTAACAAATAAGCTTCAAATATTTCAATAATCCGATATTTTCAAAATATGTATTCTTTTAATATATATATATATATATATATATATATATATATATATATATATATATATATATATATATATATATATATTATCTCCACATTGTGTCTATCGACATGATAGTATAACCGGAGAGACAATTTGGAGGGAGGTGTGCATGACTTAAGTGATTCAATTCGAACCGATTGATCCAATTACAAACCGAACAATTAGATTGGATATCCGGTTACAATTGGATTGCAAAGGTTTTGAAATTTCATGGATTGGTTATTGGATCCAATGGATAACCGAACGGATTTGATCAAATGTTCATCCAATTGGATATACAATATTAATCCAATAAATATCCAATTACGATCCAATTAATATTAAAAAAAAATACAAACATAACAAATTGTCTTAATGATTTTGCATGTTTGAACCTTGGTCATTGGAGTTGAAGACTTGAAGTGTCATTTGTTAGTCTCATTTAACGTAATTATGTGTAGTTTTAGTTTTTATTATCATAATTATATTTGGTTGTTATTGGATAGAAAATAGATTAGAGTTGGTTGGATAATGGATACTAATTAGGTATACATCTAATGGATAAAACCGATCCAATCCAACATCCAATTGTATCGGTTCGGTTCGGATACATATAGCGAATTAGTTTGGATCGGTTGATCAAATCTAAAATCCAATGGATGATTGGATTGGATCGGTTCCATCAAAATTCATTGGGTTATAACAAAGAACACCCAAAATTTGAAGGTCTACGGAAGTTAGAAAGATATCAATGAGTTGTGTCAGGTTTATATGCCGTATACAGTGTCAACATATCATCATTGTTAGAACTATTGTGACTGATACTGATGGGTTTTCCAGGTTACAAAACAAAAGATGTACACAAAGGAATCATAAAACTATTTTATGGGTATATGCAACCTAAAGATCTATGACATTTTCTCATTATAGCAACATATTACGTAACTAAAGAACTAATCTATTAATTTCGAAAATCAACTAGATTAGAATACATATCTTTAGCTATAATCGAATATAGCAACCTTGGATCTTCAAATCTTCCTTTGGAAAGCAAGCACCAATAGTGTGGATGTAAGTAATGGCTCACACCCAAAACCTTAGAAACCCTAGGAACGAATTTAAGAGAGAAGAGGAATGATGAAATCTGATTTCTGCTTGAGTTTGTGTAAGGATCGGTTTTTATAGGGTTATGATCCCTATTTATAGTTGGTGGATCTCCAGGATAAACCCTAATTTGAATAATTAAATAATAGGATTTAATCTATTTGTAATGTCCCAAAATAAAAGGTAAAAAATTTTATTTTTAAATCAAACCAAATCATACATTCATTACTTCCAAAAGATCGTCAAAGTATCGAAAGGTGCTTCAAAGTAACATCAGAGTAATAAAAAAATCATAAGCATAAAACCATAAGCACAAAGCTTATTGAGCTCCCCAAAATACCACATATCATACATAACATAACGAGTCTATTTCAACCGAAAGTGAATGTTATGAGCCAAATCATAGTCTTACAATTACTTCCTGCCATGGGCCAAATTATATTCTTTACTTGTACAAGTGTCAGGGGCCAGATCTTGGTCTTTCATATAACTGTCAGGGGCCAGAGCCTGGTCTTTCATACAATTGCCAAGAGCCAGATCGTGTTCTTCTATACAAGTATCACAAGGACAACTAGCATCCTACATAGTATAGTGAGAAAACTCACATCACAAATGCAGTCTACAACTTACAAGCTCACACAGTCGAGAAATAGGTGTTACATACCACCTACTGAATCATATAAGACAAAACCCTAGTATAACTTCTAAAACTAGCAATTTGACTAAAAATCAACTAGTTCAAAAAGATACAGGTCAACGGTAAACGTCAACTTCATGTGAACTCCATGTCATAGCCAATCCATGGCCACATCGTGGAAATCCAATAGAGTCGCGATCCAAATCCGCTACCACGTCGTGGCAGGCATGTCACCACACCGTGACGTAGACCAGGCCAAAACAGTCACGTCATTCTCCCTCGCCACGACATGGCACCTTTTTTGCTACGTTGTGGATACTGTACATTGGTCCACTTAATGGATTAAGCCCTAAATTCTAAGGGCTCTTCGATCATACTTTCCATTAAGCTTAGTGGGACCCTAGTGGTCCATAAAATCCAAACTTTATGGACATGCATGTCCTTCACCCAACTAGGTCAAACTGAAGAACAAGTGGCCAGAAACTCATGCATGGCTCTCAAAACCCAATCGACTTCTAGATCCAAGAGATATAATGATCTAGCGACCAAGGTAAGCCATAAAGTTACAAACTTTATCTCATGTCATCACTCAAACTTCATATATGGACCAAAACATGCTAAGAAAGCTAGATCTACAAGAAAGGAATCATAAAATTGGGAACTTGAGGACTCCCAAATACTCCAGAAGATACACAAAATGATGGAGGTGATTTGCTAGATGAATTCAATCATAAATTACTCCTTCTTCTTCCTTCCAAGGTTACAAAACACCAAGGATGAGCTCAAAACTTGCAAAGAGGATAGGGTTTTATCAAGAGCATTATGGAGGTTGTGGCTGGAGGAAACCCTAGCCATCACTTCCTTTAAAAATGGCCCAAAGCCTGAAAATCTAGGGTTTATCATTCTAGCATCACCACGCCATGGACAGTGCATGTCCACGCTGTAACAATCAAGAATTTGGTATGTTTCCTGTGACCCCATAATACAAAAATCATCTCATTTTAGTCCCTAGCTAGTACGCGGGGCATACTCTGAGTACACTTAGTGTACTAGCTCATTTCTAGATCGTGGGTTCGCCGACGTATGTGGGGCGTACGTAGGAGTACACATGGCATATGTGGTGCATGGGCAAACCCTAATTTTTTAGGATTTACACCCTATTTAAAAACTTATAACACCTTTTGGACATTTATTGACTAGCCTCCATCATCCTATTCCCTAATATCAAAACCCTAAGTGTATTTGGTGAGATTTGAGCTTGAAAGTGAGTTTATTAGTGTTTTTTGGTGAAGAAGAAGAAGGGGAATACTTGGAGGTTGCTTGGGAGTAGCTTGAGCTTGAAGATCCAGAGTTATCTTCACCTTGGCAAGCCTTTTGAAGTAAAAAGCTCTCATCTTTATGGTCCTTTACGCTAGATCCATTTTATGGTGTTATTTATGCATTTTTGGGTCTTTTAAGTCATATATGAAGTTATGCTCTACTCCAGAATCTATGGGTGTTAGATCTTTGCTCATTTGAGGTCCCTTGTCCATAAATTAAAACTTTATGTAAGATATTCATTCTTGAAAGTGTTAAGAGCCTTATTAAGCTTCTTTTTGAGTGTTGGTCCCCATTAAGTCATGCATGGGTGTAAAGTTGTCAGCTTTATGTATTAAGTCGCCATTTAGAATCATATCCGAGAGTTTAGCATGTTGGCTTAACCAATTAAGTGCTTAATGGTTTGGGTTGGTAATATGAGGAGTACGTTGGGTGTACCCAGCTGGTACGTTGCACGTACTGGCCCCGAAAGGAGTACGCTAAGCGCACGAGCTGACTACGTCCTGCGT